GTGGACAAAAGAGAGAGAGAGAGAGAGAGAGAGAGAGAGAGAGAGAGAGAGAGAGAGAGACGGAGACAGAGAAAATCTTTAGCCTCCAGAGAAATTAATTTTCTCTTTAAAACACCCAAACTGTTCATTCTTACTCAACAAGCATATTTAATTTGAAGCTTCTTGGTTCTGATCAATCTTCAAACAATCAATAGGGATTCCCAGTGGACAATAAAACATCCGGGGCTATAATCTGCCTCTGCACAGAACCCATTCAGCTCTTCCTAAGGGTGCTGTGCTCATCTGCGCCATCCTCTAGCTCCAGAATTATGCAGGAAAGCCCTCCCATCAAAACTCAGCCATTTCTGCTTTCAGCATTCTGGGGACCTATTGCTTTCTCTGACTGGCCCAATGCAACTAGGAAGAAAATGTCCAAACAAAGCTTTCTTTATTTTCATGAGGAGAATAAATCTATGCAAAATAGCATATGTAGCCAAGGCCCTTCTTGAGTGTACACTACCTAAATGAGGAATAGAAAATGAGTCTGAAATACAAATGTTCAAATTACCACTCCTTGGGAAACAAGCTCTCTGATAGCAAAGCCTGTGACCTACACTGCCACAGAGTTGGGCAGATTGTTCAGGCATTCACAAGCCCCAGACTCTATTATGCACCCCACACACACTGTTACTATTTCAGAGTGGCTGTGTAGTGCCTGGGGCTAGCTTGTTTGATCCACAGCTGCAGAAAACAAACAAAGCTATTTAAACCAAATGTAAAAGGTATATGAAGAAGAAGAGAGAGTTAGGGAGGTCTGAGCAAAGAGTGAAATAAATATAGGCTCTCACACCAAAGGAAGGCTTTAAACTGAATATGAACTCAGGAAAAATCAATTTGCCTGTTCCTTTGTTGTCATAACTTCTCTCTGCAATGTGACTCTTGGCAGTCATTGAAAGGTATACACTGCGTGAAGTCTTACACAGTGAGGCGTATCGTACAGAACAATCACATAACGCAGCATCTGTGACGTCACGATTGGGTCCTATGATGATACTGGGATGAGAAAAAGGAGAAAGGAGATATCATGCTAGTGACGTAGTTGTGCTTTGATAGTTGAAATGCTCATCGTAAAACTCATCCTTAGCTCCACAGTCTTACAATTATCATAAAGATGGTTGTGCAGTGAGTGGCAGGGATGATGGGCAGAAGAGTGTGAGCCATTCAGAAGAGAGGTGACTTGTTCAGAAACCTAACTGCACCACTAAAGAGAATAGCCAAAAAAAATCAACAAGCATGCAAGTGCAAAAATATTAATAAAAAAATAAAGCCAGGAAAGAAATGGAAAATTATAGCTTCTTCTAGTCACAGTCACACAGCCTGCCTCCTCTTCTTACCTGATCTGCCGTCTCGCTGAATGTCCACATGGTACCATTCCCCATCATTGGCTTTCTTCTGAGTGGCTTTCACTTTGATGGTGCCTGAGCCCATGTCAAGCAGCAAGTACAGGTTGCCATCAAGAAGTTCCACGGCAAAGAAGTCAACTTTTGTGTTCTTTTGGCTCCGGGCGTCTTTCCTCTCTTGGGGCTTCCCATGTGTGAAGAGGATCAGGCCATTGGGCTCAGTGGTGCGGAAGTCGAAGGAGATAGAGCCCATACGCTTCGTGTTCCACTTGGGCAAGCTGATATAAGCCTCTGGGGTCTCAAAGTTGATGGGGTCCAGTGTGGCCACATTCTCACACTTGAATACAACTTCACCATAGATTTTCATCTTAGTGTCCCCAATCCGGGCCAGGCGAGACAGCTCCAGACGGATGTCATTATTCTTATAAACAACCTGCCAAAAGCCAAACAAAAGTGTCACATGAATCAATCTTACAAACAGTCTCCATGCATCACTCACTGGCTACCCGGAAAAGAGGTTCAAGAAGAGACTTCAGGACATAATAGTCTGAAACAATATGAGAAACATGAGATACAGCACTCGAAAGGCACCCAGGGAGATGTGTGGGGTGGACACAATCTCTGAATAAACCTCTGTACTTCCGTTATATTCCCTCTGTCTTTCTCTTTCTGTCCAATTTCTTGTGTTGTGAGCTTACAAATAAAAATCATGACCCACTGAGTTGTATGGATGCAAATGCTTTTGTATAGAGATTTACTTAGTACGAGAACAGAAATAACCTAAACTACTGTAAATAACGTATGACATATATATTTATAATGGAATATTATGTGGCCTTTAAAACTGAGGTACTACTTCTGGCTTTGACATGGAGATCCCTCAAGTCATATTATTCAGTGAAGTTTACAAGGAACAGGACAGAATGTGTATTACACTGTCATTGTATGAAAGTTGCAGGGGGGGGATGGGCCGTGATATATTTGTTCACATCAGCATAAAATATCTTTCCAGAACTCACAGAGAGTTTTAAGGTTGTCAGTAGGGAGTGGCTTTGTGGGATTCATACTGAAAAGTTGGGGGAAAAAAAGGCTTCCTTTTCACCTGTCCTCTTATATTGTTTGAACTGAAAAATCACATGTATATATGTATTTCTTTAAAAAATTGAGAGGTACGACTTGGTGGGGAAGAGGACTTGTTTTTTCCATTGAGAGTGGAACCCTAGTTCAGTCAGCTGGAAACACTGATTCAGCTGAGGGTCAGAATTCACAGGAATATTTATCCAGCCATCTGGCTGCCCTGCGAGCAGCAGGCTTCTGCCTCCATCTCTACCTGGGGTGCAGGGAAAGAGGGCATGCCAGTTAACAAAAATATATCCATTATGACTTTCCAAATCTGTGTAATCGTACAAAAACAGAGATTAATCTAGTTCCCTAAAATTAGAATTTCAGACAAGTTTTACTCTTCTTAAAACTGAATTTTGATGTGTTGTCCTGCCAGTGCTCTGATTTTTTTAGTTGTGTCACATCCATACAATGATAATGAGCGAGGAAAAAAAGAGGCTAAAATGTGAGTGAAGAGCGTACCACCACTTTGCTATTTCCTTTCTATTATCTTATTCAAATTTGAAGTTAGGGCCTGGATTTAGGTCTAAATCCTATATCTACTATTTTCAAGTTCTGCAACTTAGACAAAGTCACTTCTTTGGGTCCTTTTTCTCTTCTGAAAATGGGAATATATGGGAGCAAAGTAGTTTGTAAAGCTAAAGTGGTTAATACATATAAAGCACTTAGAAATGGTACATAGCAAGGACACAGTTTTAGCTTATTGGGCAGTGGTGGTTGTGTTTGTTGTTAATCTCATCTCCTTCTTTCCATAGCCCTGAGAAAGCTGTACAGTAGTATCATTTCTACTTCCAGTAAAGCAACAAGGTACCAAAATATGTCTCACAATCCATTTCTGTGAAAGTTACCTGAATGGATCACTTAAGTGCATAATAATAGTTAACACCTCACATCTGACTATAGAACTTTTTTCTTCTCTGCCTCCATCCCCAGGAGAGAATAGAATAGAACTGTTTGCCTTTTAAAAGGTATTACAAGAGTGATATATGACTATGAAACAGCATAAAACATGTCTCACCTGTGTGTAATCATAACAATAACTAGGCCCTGACTACCGTCAGTACCATTGAGAATAATAATGATCCATCTGTTGACCAGGCAGTGGTCAAGACTTCTCTCCTGACATCCTATTAGATTGTGACAACACCCAATTAGGGTACCTATAGTCATTCCCTCATTTTACAGATACAAAGACAGACACAGAGAATATTTAGGGAGCTGGCCCCCAGGCACCGAGCTGATAAGTGGCAGAGCAGGACCAGGACACAGTCAGCTCCTGAGACCATGCACTTTTATCACCGTGGACACCTGAATTGAAGCCAACCACCATCCCCCAGGAACTTGATTGATAGCACTGTGGAACATCAAGCATGCTCTTCTTCCCAATTCAAAAGCTGACTTTCCATTTTAGCTCCAGTGGACCGACCATGTGCAAAGGGAAATCCCACAGGACACTTACACTATTACTCAAATGAGTGAACTACAAAACAAACACTGGAAGTTGAATGATGGGCAGCTCTTCCTTTCTAACCCCTACTATTATGCTTCAGCACATAAGATCTCTGTGCCAAAACCAAACTTTGCCTCTCTTCATTTGGGTGAAATGCTTATGACCAGAGCTCCCTGGAAAGGTTAATTATTATTAGATAATAATAGCTCATCCCAGAGGGACAAATGGAGGCTTGGCTCTATAGAACAATACATGGAAAGAAAAGGCATGCATCCATCCATATGAGAAGTGAGGACAGAAGGAGCAAAGAGCCTTTAAAGGAATGTGAGGGCAGTTCTGCTGTGAGACAGGCATATCACTGGGGCCGGAATCAGCATGCAGAATTATAGGGACACAGGTAGGAGAGTAGTAAGGCAGAGATAATTAGATTCTCTTAAAACCTTTTGGCAGGTAAGTGATCTCTGTACCCCTGCCATCCCTGTTTATTTATTTGGAGTTTCCTTTATGGAGAAAAATGTGAATGCCTTTGTCTCTGATAGCTGGGGAGCCTTTCTGGGTCACATTTTTTTGAAGTGCAAAAGTGGGAGCCTCAAGACCACTGTTGTGAACTGCCCCCTTTGTTGTTCCTGGGCTGTTGTCATGATCAAATGGGATATCTTACATGTTAGAATAGAATATTCTAGACTGGCACGCAAACTCAGGAAAAATAATAGTAAATCCTCCTCTTCAGGAGTACAGTGATTCTGTTGGAAACTGAGAAGGCCCTCAAATGAGGTTCCAGGAGGATCTCCTACTAAGAAGAAAGGGATAGGGCATGAGGGTCTTGCAGCCCAGTGGTTCTCAGCTGAGAAGTTCCATTGATAGCATCCCCACTTAACCCTCTGTGCAAAGTCACAGCCATGGCCAGGTAGAACTACACTGGGACCTCGGGTAATGTGCCATGGCATGGGGACAGGGCGCTGTGCAAGACCCCTCTCCAGGTGAATTGGTATGGTCTTGTATGGTAAGTTTCCTTGGTAAAAAAGGCTCTCAACTAAGTGAATGTCTCCAACTGACTGAACTAGAAAGAGATGTAGTATCAAGCGACAGAAAGCAACCTTGGCTGACAAGTTCGCCCAACAAGGAGCAATTAAAGACAAAGCAGATAGGCTGGAGATTTAGCTCAGTGGTACCAGTGCCTGCCTGCCTTACAAGTGCAAGGTCCCGAGTTTGATCCCCAGTACCAAAAA